GTGGGGGTTTTGAATTGGAGGAACTTTACAGGGGATATAAGAAGGGTTATATGCTATACCAATACTGTGGGTCAGAGGGAAATTTAGGGACATTGTATATAAAGAGAGCAGATATCGCAGAAGGATAGGAAATATCTGAGAGGCAGTGGAAAGAACAAAAGAACTGTGGGAGATGTAGCAAAAGAATGTTTCATTTTTTGTTGTAATAAGAATGGGGAGAGGTGTATTGAGTGGGTGTAAGTTTTAGAAGGTGGTGTTTTGGTTAGTATTGAAGTTCAGTGCTGTCTTTGGATCAAAGCAGCACAATGTCTTGAGCTGACCTTTAAAGAAACAGCCCGCTCCAAGCACCTCAAGTCGAAAATGCATGGAAAACAAACAGGGTTATTCACTAAATGAGGAATTTAAAGTGAATTTAAAAGTTACGGCCAAAGTAGTCAAACTGGTGACGTAGCTGACTTAGAGAATGTTCTCAGCTCAGCTAATTTGACCTTAAATTTTAAATTCACTTTGTATTAACTTTGAATTCTCACTTTAGTGAATAACTCTGACATATATAATTTTTCCCCAAAAAGGGAAAAATACTTCTTAGCTTTTTTTTTTTATCACCCTATTGATAATAATGTCCATAGTAACTGCAATATTCTACTTTGCTGAGAATCTATTTCATCCTTTTAAAAATTATTTAACTAGTGACAGGAACAATGACTACAGAGCATGGTCATACACTGAACAAGGCAACACATTAACCTTTAGTTACCTTAGATGAGAACTCATCTTAGAGTTTATACACACAGAGTCCATGGCTTTCTCATCACAGCAGCTGTAGGAGCCATTCATATACTTTACTCTATGATTCATGTAGCGGGCAAACGCTGACTCAATACAGTAAGTTGTAAGGGGCAGTAATTGTCGTTGTTGAAAATTGTTTTCCATTCTATTAGCCATGGTCTCACCCAGAGTATGTCCATACCCCAGAATGTGGCAGACTTCATGGATTATCGTTTCTGGGTGAGAATCGATTCCGAAAAATGCACTCATTGTCCAAAAATGTGGACAAAGATATATGATTCTTTCATCGGACGGGTAATAAACGTAAGCAATCCAATTTTTATGAGCATCATCCCTGCCTCTCATGAAGGTCACTTTCTGGAGTTCACTAATTAGATCTTTTACCAGACTTGGAGTAATTAATGCAATGAACGTATTCGAGGAATAGTCACTGAAGTCTTCTGGTTTCTCCACCAAGAGATGGTCTTTTTTCTTCAGAACATCAAACAAGACATTTAGAGTTCTCTGCTTTGCTTCCTCTGCAAGTTTCTGCTCGCCCTCACTCAAAGGAGATGGTTCCTTTCTATTATGGAGAAAAGAAAGTGCTAGAACATTTACCATTAAAATGTCTGCATAGTCTGTGGAAATGCAGATAGACAAGGTCTGAATAGCCCAATACCAAATAATGCAAAACCATCCGGTACTGTATGAGGCCATTTCAAATAAAAAATCCACATTACACTATTTCACAAAGTCCGAATTTTGCAGAGCGGGCTTTGGATGAGCCTAAATTTTATCTGAATTCCCGCCAGACCTAGTGTTCCTCCCAGCCCCCATCCACTAGTGCCGAGGGGGCCAGGTAAACTCCTAAAGATAAGAAGGCTAAGGACACTCCTACCCCGATAGCAACTTAACTGACTTTAAAGAGATGCTCCACCGTCGTAATAAAGATAAAAATACTGTCTAGTAGACATACCCCATGAAAACTTGCATGCATTTGATTATACATTTTTTGATTGAGTCTATATCTAAATATAGCTTCTTTTGTATGATGCCTTTGCAAGCCTTCCTCTTCTAACCCCACCCAGACTTTCTGTCACAGACTTCCCAATGGAGCTCAGTGAGAAGATTTTGCAAGGCGGGTGCATTGGGCAACTGCTGCCACTTAAGTTTTGTTCCATTAAGCTAAGCAACCAGGAAGTAACAAGATAGGTTGTCTGATTGACTGCTAGGTGGGCGTAGCAAGGTTAATTTCTTCACAATCTTCACTGTTTGTAAAATAAAAAAGAGGAGAACCTCATTACACAGGTCTGTTATGGGGGTGGGAGTGTTCCTTTAAGCATTTACTGTAACAATGTGTTACATAGCACTAACATACGACCATATCCAACTGACAAGCTATTTCCATCTAATTACCTTAGATAAATGCCCATCACAGAGTTATCGCAAACGGAGTCTCTGGATTTCTCACCACAGCAGCTGTAGAAACCATTTTTATACGTTCCCTCATGATTCATGAAGAGTGCAAACACTGAATCGATATTGAAGATTGTAAGGGGAAGTGATTTTCGTTGGCAAAAATGACTTTCCTTTCCACTAGCCATGGTCTCCTCAATGCTGTGTTCAAATCCCAGGAAATGGGAAACCTCATGAATTATTTGTGCTGGGCGAGAGTCAATTCCCAGATAAGCACCTTTTTTGCAAAATTGGTGAGAGAGATAAATTATTCTTTCATCTGATGGTGAATAATTGCAAGAAATCAAATCTTCATGAACATTGCCATAGCTTCTCACAAAAGTCACATTCTGTAGTTCCCTAATAAGATCTTCTACCAGACTCTGTGTAATCAATGGAATGAGCCCATCAGGAGAGCGGTAATTTAGGTTTTCTGTCTCTTCCACCAGAAGACGGTCCTTTTTCTTTAGAGTGTCCTTCAAGATGTTCAGGGTTCTCTGTTTTACCTCCTCTGCCACTTTCTGCTCATCTTCAGTCAAAGCAGTTGGTTTCTTTCTGTTATTGAGAAAATAAAGTTTTTATAAATTATAACGTAACTAGGAATGCAGACATTATACACATTTAAATTAAAAGAAAGTTCCTAAAAATATTCAATACTTTTACAATCAAAATGGCTCTGTCATCTTTGGGGTCTTTGTATATTTTGCAAAGTTTTCAGATGGTGACATTTTCACTTGGGGTGTGGTGCTCTGTACTTACCTATCTCTCATTGTCAATGCAGTCTTCTTTCTTCAGATCCTGGCACTTGATCTTCCAGGAGCTGCGTCAGCACTGTACTTTTGTGCATGCGCATAAGTACAACACAAAAGCTATGGAAGATAATGTGAGCCATGAGAGCCTTCATTTACCAAGTTTCTTGATCCACAAGAAGAAATCTTATTCCTACAGCCAGGGCCGTCTTTAATTTTGATTGGACCCTGGGCAAGCATTTACTTGGGCCCCCTGACTATATATAGATACACACAAATACACTACCTGACAAACATGCAGATACACACTGACCGCATGTAGATACACACAAGAACATACAGATACACACAGACTACATATAGATACACTGACACACACATAGACATACACACAGATATAAACACTGACATACATGCAGATACAAAAGGTACACCCATTGACTACATATAGATACACACACACACTGACACACACATCCAGACACACAAACGGAAAACATGCAGATACAGAGACACATTCTGACAGACGTACTGACACAGACAGCCATACTGAAACACACATACACA